ATTTACCTCTTTGTAAGTATTCTTATTATGTTTACTAGTTTCTTTTTCACTAAGTTTACAGCAGTTTCCTCTTTTTTATGACTTTCATTTGATGTGTGCACTGATTTCAGCAGATCTGCATATATCAAGAGCTTTTTCTAATGTTAATTCTGTTTCATGTAACAATCTTGCTCTCACTACATCATCTTTAATACCACAAACAATTTTATCCTTTATTAAACTATCCGTTAATTGTGCAAACTCGCATGTTCTAGCTTTATTTCGAAGGTCAGTTACGTATTCATCTATGGTTTCTGACGCGGTTTGATTTCTAATAAAGAATAAATGTCTTTCATATGTAGTATTTTTCTTAGGAATACAATATTCCGTAAATTTTGTTTTAATTTCACTTAATTTAATTTCTTTACCCTCTTCTGTAGGAAATGTATTATATATTTCAAGACCACGAATTCCTATTACATGAAGAAAAGTATTAACTCTTACCTCCTCTTCTTTATTATGTAATCCACTAGCTACTTCATATATTTCAAATGATTGCAGCCATTTCTGCCAATTCGAAGCTAGATTTTCATCAATTTCATCGGCTCTGGTGTTTTAAACTTTCCATTTTGAAAGCAAAATTTTCCTGACACCATATATTATTATGAGGGTACACTTTTAGCTTTTAGAAATTATTTATTTACAATCTTAGAATGTATAATCACAGAGAACTGCAATACCAGCATAGTTCTATTTTTCATATCTGTATCCAAAGTGTTGCCAATTACAAGTTACTAAATATTAAATGTTACCATTTACAAATTATTAAATATTACACCGAGAACGACCGAGCAGAGCCGGGACCTGTACTCTGGTGCTTTACAGTGGAGCTGTCTGCACCGTTATTGCATGACAATCTGAAGGCTGTGTCGCTAAACGTGTCAGCGTGTCTATAACAGTTCGACGACTGTACAAGTGATTTTGGAGCTATCTGATTAATATTGGTAAATAAAGTGTATTTCGATACTTCATCAAGTAGTATTGTCATTATTCACTCCAAATCCTCACGAACCCCGTACGAACGTGAAGGGAGAAAATAACGTAAGAATATTTACGAAACCTCTTTAAACCACAGAAGCATAATCAGCATTGTTAACATCAACATAATAAACCATCTAACATGAAATAAGACAGTTAGAAACAATAATACTGTTGCGTTTTACGTGTTTGTGGATTTGTAGTAATTGAGAAAAACACTTGATGAAGAATCGAAAACACAATTTATTCATCAGTATTACACAGGAGAGTTCGAAAGACACGTTTACAGCCTTCAAAAAACTACGATAATAGCCTTTAGGCTATAACGGATTCTGACTCGGTCGGCCCTAACAGGGTCCATTACACCGAAACTGAGAAAGAACTCTTAGATCAGCATCTGGAATCTCAGTTTTGCACTAAGAACATTCATGATCCTACAACAGATCCTACACCACGTCCCTAATTTTCACACCAGTTACTCTATAAACCCAAGCACGGACATTATTTCAGTATAAAATGCCGTCTAAAATCATTGGCAATATTAAAAAAAATGAAGAAAAACAAAAGTCCTCGACAACGTCAGGAAGCTCATGATTAAGAAACTTCCTATTAAGACCATTTTCCTCGTCAAGATTTTCAATATTATGCTTCAGTGGCAACATTTTCCCAGAGCATGAAAGTTAGCTAAGATTATACATATTGTAAGGATCTTAAGTTTTACTAACGTTTATTTTATTTTAAATCTTTACTATCACTTCTTATTTTCTACTTCCGGCCAGAATTATAAGCGTTAATGTATTTATGCAAAATTTGTCTGGCGAACGCCAAGTACTTTAAGTTGTTGGCTTTTTTTTTTGCCAAGCGAGAGAGAGGAAGGAGTTAGTCGAAGCAGGCCGCTTACCTTAGAAGTTTTTACTCAGTTGCTGGTTGCCTTCCAGGCCAGAGGTTTAAATCCTCTTGATAACTTTAAACGTATTGTAGTGTTCACAGTTCTCTGTACTACATACGGCTTCCTGTTAATTATAAGGCCAATCTTCCACGTTTATTACTTCAAAGTTTAAGAGTTTAGTTTTATTTTATATTTTACGTTTAGACAAGTAGTGGGTCTTTGTATTCCGAAGTACGGAAGTTATTGTAAATAGAGAAAATAAAGGGTTTGTATACCCTTCTTGTGTATCCTGTCTACTTCCCACAGTTATTGGACATAGCTTTAGTAAGCTCTCTGTTCCGAGTCAGGTCCTTGCATGTTCCCGAAGAAAGTAAGACGGAACATTGAACCTGATAATATATTGAAACCTAACAAACCTGATACCAAGCCAGAGTGTTATAGACCCATCAGCCTGTTGCAAAGCTTAGCAAGATCTGCAAAGCACCTGGAAAACTTTTCAAACTTCACCTGAGAAATAAAATATTCACATCCCGCATCAGTTTGGTTTTCGACGAGAACTTTCCATAGCAAATCAGCTCTATAGAGTTGTTGAGACCATTTCAGAGGGCATGCAGTCTCGCAAAATCATTGCAGGAATCTTCACTGATATAGTCGTATAGCCAAAGCTTTTGACCGAGAATGGCTGGTTGCACTAATATACAAATTACACCGCCTGGGTTTCCCAGGCTATATTATAAACTTAATTAAATTGTACCTGACCGGTAGACACTTTGTCGTTCAAGTTTGAAACCCCTATTCCAACAGCCGTGCTATTTCAGCGGGCGTCCCACACTCTTCAGTATTTATGGGAATGACATTCCGACCATGCCCAACACTACTCTAGCCATGTATGCAGACGACACAGCGATTCTAGCCCAAAGTGCATTTGTTAGCCCAGTAATTCAACTATTACAAGCACACACCAATGCACTTGAGATTTGGCTCCCTAAATGGAAAATTATGGTGAATGTGGATAAAATACAGGCTATTCTCTTCGCGAGGAAACGGAAATTCTGGTAGATGTCAATTTCTATGGAATCTCAATCCTGTGGGCCAAGCAAGATCAATTACCTTGGGGTGATCCTCAATAATTCGCTCACATGGACCCCACACATTACATCTATCATCCAGAAGTTTCGAGCTTGTAAAGCTAAACTTTACCCCTTAACTTTGGGCGTATGCTTGCAAATGTAATAGAAAAAGTTGCAGGCAGCGTAGAACTCCGTTCTGCGGCAGATCGTAGATGCCCAGTGGTACCTTCGTAATAACCGGATCCACGAAGAACTAAATATTGTTCAGCTCGAGATCATTACTATTTTTTTGCAAAGAGATTTCATGAGAGGCAGAGGTCTATAGATAAACCCGTTACTAAAATTATTATGATTACTGATTACAATGATTTAGCAAATAGTAATAGGCCAGTGACTGTCTTCAGCAACTATATAATGTAAAACTGTATTCTTTTGTATTTGTTATACCTATGTAGCTATATATTACTTGTTTTTATATCTCACTTATGCACGTTTGCTCCTCACCTCTTTTCTGTTTATGCAATTAGCTAATGCGCTAATTGACTCGTAACTGCCTATAACATTCTATTTGTATGTTTCTAGCCAAATCACCGGCTCGAACTGGGTTTTCTGATCAGTCTGCCGTTGTAGTGTGTTGTCTCATGTTCAATTATCTAATTCTTATTACATCTCTGTAAATTCAATCAGGTACAATCTCTTAGCTTTTTGGAAAACGGAGTTTGATACACCTGGGTGCCTAGGTTAACGCTTTACCCCAAGTCGAACATAGTTGAAAGTTTCGAAATATTTTAGAAATAATTTATTTGAGATATTGTAATTTTTTTTAAATTTCAATTTGAAGAGATTCATGCACTGTAAATTCAAGCTTCAATGCTGTCTAACTGAATATGTTATCAAGGTACTTTTGAATCAATAGGTCTTAAGTGGTGAACAAATACATGTAATACACACAAGATATAAATATAAATATACATAAATATAAACAAAAGAATAACATGATAAAGTAAATATAAAAATCAGACTTCTATGATTACATCTGGATTGAGTATGGACATTGGCCTCTTGTTATAAGTACCGTTATTATAATCGTAATTATAAATTCTGAGTTACTTGTAGTACGTAAAGGAACGTGAAACTGTCTGCCCAAGTGGTAGTAAAAATTTCTCAGTGTAATTATGCTTGATTCCGCATGAATTGCATTGTTTCTAATACAGGATGGAGCATTTGTAATTTGCCGCAGAACAACATTCTGGGCAGTTTTTCAGTTTTTTATGTAGATTTTTTACATGAATACGTCCAGACTGGACAAGCGTAAAACACTACATGGAACGCAGAAGGGATTTATAAATGACTAACTTATTATCTATAGACAGAACGCTGCAATTTAGGGGTTGAATTCAGCTATACGAACCCGAAACTTCTGAATAATAGAGTGCATATGTGGGGACCATGTGAAAGAATTTGTGCAGCTGCAATCTCTTTTTGGTTCTCTCTTGCAACAATTAGGAAAGTTAAACTGTTCTACATGGGGTAGGCCCTTCGGCCCAGGTACCAACATCACTTCCAGAATCGGAGTTGGCCTTGCCTAAAGTGACAGTGGATGCATACTAGGTTTATTGTCCTAAACCAGGGTTTCTAAAACTGTGGGTCGCGGGACCTGCAGCACGTGACGCTGTCATTTCGTCTGTTACTTATTTAAAATTTTCACTTTGTTCTATGTCTTAAAATTAGAAAATAATAACCGAAAACTGCAATAGTATATTAGAGTACAAGTGAAAAAATTGACAGTTTCACTCACGCGTGTGTCAGATTTGCGCTATACTTATGGGGGGGGGGCTCACAAACCTTTTGTAAATATTATGCGGTCTTGGGGGTCGCAAAAAATCTCAGCGATAAAAAGGGGTCGCGACTGAAAAACGTTTAAGAAACCATGACCTAAACAATATTTTCTTGGGCTGGACATCAGAGCGTTACCTATCAGACATTTGAGATATTTTAGGTGTACAGTGGTGGCAATATATATGCAATAAATATTTTGAGTATTGAAGTCTTACCTCATAATAAATACGCGATTTTTTACTTGTTAACTTAAGGAAAGGTGTATCGTGTTTAAAATAGATTTGTACATTAAGTGATAGTTTGTGAATTGTTATAATTTTATTTGCTGAATCAGACGTCGTAAATATTTCGCCTTCATTTTCTTCTATCATTTTGGATCTTGATCAACTTTTTGCCTGATTGCTTAGAAAATTTATATCCTTTGCGATAATAAATGTTATAAAAATAATATATTTTTATAAGTTGTGTAGAGATTTGTTATGAAGATGCCTTCATCAGGTAAAATACTTACCTTCATGTAATTTAGATAGAATATTGCCAAAAACATGTCATTTAATGAAAAGTCATTAAGTTTTAAAAGATATTTTTTTCTCTGTATATCTTAGAATCTGATTTTCAAAACTATCATCAGAAATACCGAAATCTTAAGAGGAAGCTTAAAGTTCTTATATATGTAAGTATAAGAATATAAATGTATATCGTTTCCTCTTATACATATTACTTTATACTGTTTTTAAAGCATTTAGCAGCTGCAGATGTAGAATAAAAAAGGTTTGCTTATATTGATAACAAATTTTTCATAAGGAACTTTTTAGGATTGTGGATTTTAGGATGCTTTTTTTTTTTTTTTTTTTTTTTATAATTCATGTAATTTTAATTTCATTTAATAAAATGATATAATGATTTTATGTAATGTTACTTGATTAATTAATTGAAGAATTACATGTAGTGAAGAATTCTTTTAGAATTAAGTAATAATTTGTAAATTAAGTGAATTAAGCATAAGACTCATATTTGAAGTCTTATGTGCAAGTCTCCTCTTGTAAAAGCATAATCGTTTGATTATAATTTTGAGTATTTTTCTACTATGCTCCTGCCTCGCTTCTGGGCCACTATTAAAAAGAAGCCAAACACATGCCAAGACCCACTGATAATACCATCTAGGGATTATGCATGCATGTGAATAAATATAATTAAACAAACACATATTATTACAATAGTGCTGCCAAAATCTGGATTGTGGATTTTAGGATGCTTTTTTTTTTTTTTTATAATTCATATAATTTTAATTTCATTTAATAAAATGATATAATGATTTTATGTAATGTTACTTGATTGATTAATTGAAGAATTACATGTAGTGAAGAATTCTTTTAGAATTAAGTAATAATTTGTAAATTAAGTGAATTAAGCATAAGACTCATATTTGAAGTCTTATGTGCAAGTCTCCTCTAGTAAAAGCATAATCGTTTGATTATAATTTTGAGTATTTTTCTACTGTGCTCCTGCCTCGCTTCTGGGCCGCTATTAAAAAGAAGCCAAACACATGCCAAGACCCACTGATAATACCATCTAGGGACTATGCATGCATGTGAATAAATATAATTAAACATACACATATTATTACAATAGTGCTGCCAAAATCTGTGGCAGGTGCATAATAGAAAAGTACCTACTTTTATTATAATGTATTTTGAATTTTATACCTTAATTTGTCATAGCAACATGCAAGCTTAATGATTTGTTACAAGTGCCACCCTATAGAGTATAGTAGTTAGTGGAGGCTGATTGCTAACCCAAAACTCAGGGTGTGGGTTTCATTCGTTTTAAGGTTAATACACAATGACAATTTTTTTTCCTCAATAATGTCTATTTTATATGTTTTTATATATTTCACTGTTGTGTGGTTGTGTGTGTGATTGTAAGTGTGTCAGCATTTGAATTTTTTCGGCACTTCCTTGATAACTTGGAATTCAAAAATATATAACTTTTTTTAAGCGCAGGTATCACATTGATAATTATTATGATTGCATATAAATAAATATGTTATGGTTTTATAATGTATATTTTTTTCAATTAAACAAAATTTATTGTAAATTTTGTGTAAAATCAATACATATATACATTAGCTTTTGGTGTGCCACGAAATTCCAGAAAGATTTTTTGTGCGTCACAGGTGAGAAAAGGTTGCGGAGCACTGATGTATTAATATATATACATCATATATATATATATATATATAAGGAAATATTATTAATGTTTATGTAGGGCTTTAATAGTTTAAGAATTAATGTCACATAATAAAATGTAATACTGATAGATGACAAATGCATTTTTCTTATAAAATGTAAGCAGCTAAGACACTGGATTAATTTTACTTTTATATTTTTATTAATCTTTAATATCATTATAGATTGTCAGTTAGAGATGAAAACAGTTGGAAAGTTTGGTGTATTAATTCAATTTTTTTAATTGTTTTCATTTCTCATTTCAAATAGTTTGTGCAAAATCTTTTAAATAACAATTTTCATTGATTTTTAAAAGAGAAAACAAAATTAAAATTCAATAAAACTTATGATGCCAAGGTTTTATTTAAAAGAAATTTGTTTATATGTATTTCATTTAACTTATAATATAGGAAATAGAGTTTTTCCCACAGGTGTATTAATCTTATTTGTATTTTGCCACTGTATACTTTCCATGCTTTTGAAGTAACTATTAGTTAATACAGTCAAAAGTCTTTAATCCGGAATGATCTATAAACCAGACCTCAAAGCTACAAACTTTCTGCACATGCGTAAATGTTTAGCAATGCACATAATGCATTTATGCTTGTGTGTAATACGCTTACGCATGCGCATTTAATATATAATTGACGGTATAAGCTAAGCTAAAATTATCTAATTATCTGTTTCAGTTAATGTTGCAAATTGCGTTGTTCCTTAATCTTCTCATTGGAATCTGGCTTATTATTTTTTGCAGACTGTTAGAATAATTTTATAAAAATTAAACTTGAACTTTCGATTATGTCAAAAAGAGTTTATTATACTGGCAAGCTGCCAAAGGATCCACAAAGCGAAAGCATGTTTCGATGTCCATCAAACAAAAAGTGTAATTGCTCCAAGAAATGGATAAAGGCATATCCTTTGTTTTTCTAACCATTCCGAAATCTGTTTATCAATTTCACGCTGCTCTGCCGGGGGGGGGGGAAGGGATCATCGTGGCATGCAATGAACTGGAAGTTGATCTGACAGCACTATCCTCATCTTCAGGGCAGATGTTTTTATTTTATTTGGCTTGTAATTCCTTATTAAATGTAGTATTTCATCTCGATGTACTCCGTCTTTGATATGAATTAAATCAAATTCCTCGTCATTATAAATATCACCAATACACATCAAATAGATTTCTGATTGCAATTTTCTAATTTCGACTATGCGTAATGTATGCTTTACGCATGCGCGCGTTTGAAAAGAAATGTTTAATAAAGTAAACAAATAATATAAGCTTTTTTTTTTTTTTCGTAAATTTTGATACCCTTTAGATCAAATTGCTCTGTATTTCATAAATTACGGTTTCATATTTTTTATTTTATAATTTCTGCATGTCATTTACCAGATTTAAATATAATATTTAAATATATACCAGATCTATAATCGGGAACCGCCGAAGTCCTGACGAGTCCGGATTAAAGACTTTTGACTGCATTTGCATGTAAAGATATAAAACATGTACAGCTTCTTCCCCACCCTTTTTTTAAGTGATGCATGCCCATTAATGTGAAAATGTGTTTAATATAGACAAAACTGAAAGATTATACAGTCAAATGTCTTTAATCCGGACTCGTCGGGACTTCGGCGATTCTGGATTATCGATTTTTCCAGATTATAGATCATCAGTTTAAATCTGGTAAGATGGCATGCAGAAGTTATAAAATTAAAAGGTTGATCTTTACAATATGGTAACTGGTAGTTTGGCGACATTTTGGAGACGATAAAGGTTACTACCTGGGACTTGGTAATAATGTGAGCATACCAGTTCCGATTACGCATTATTTTTGTGTGAGGGAAATGAGATATCTGGGATAGTCATGTGGTATTAATGGACAAATTACGGTTCTTTAATCGGAAAGGGGAAAACGGGAAAAAATCTGGAAATTTTGTATTTGGCTTTATTCTGTGTTGTGTGAAACAGTGTTCGGAATTTTTAGATCCCATGGCGTAACTAAGTGAATTCGAATGGTTTTTTATGTATGTATTAATTTAATGTATGTGCTCATTATATTTTAAGTAGTGTTTTTGAATTTAATTATATTTTAATTAAATGATAGTTATTTTGGGAATTTTGTTTGTAGGATTGGTATACTTTTAGTTGAAGTAAACGTGCATGGAAATAATTTAAATATCTGACACTAAGTATTTGTAATGGTTGCGGTATGATTCGTTGGTGACGTTTATATATAATAGATGATTTAGAGGTAAAAGTTTTTGGATATTTTTTTTATTTATATGTGGAAATGTTCATATTTGGAAAGGGTAAATACTTTTGCGATCAGGTAATTTCATATATGTTCTTTTTACCGGGTTTAAAGATTGAGAAAATTGTATGTATTTTCGTGAAATTTTTTCTAATTATGAGAAAAAGCAGTGTACATGGATATAGTGAAGAGTGTGCGCAATGCCATTTTTGTGCAATTCTGGGATGTTTTTTTAAGTAAAATAAGTCGACGTGTACATGGTTTAGTGATATTTTAATTAAATGATAGTTATTTTGTGTTGTAGGAATTTGGTAACGTTTAAGTTGAAATAAACGTGCAGGAATAATTTAAATATTTGATACTAAGTTTGTAATGCTTGCGGTATGAATTCGTTGGTGACGGTATAATGTAATAGATGATTTAGAGGTAAAAGTTTGGATATTTTTATTTATTTTATATGTGGAAATGTTCATATTTGGAAGGGTAAATACTTTTCGATCAGGTAATTCATATATGTTCTTTTAACCGGGTTTAAAGATTGAGAAAATGTCAGTATTTCGTGAAATTTTTCTAATTTATGAGAAAAAAGCATGTACATGGATATAGTGAGAGTGTGCGCAATGCCATTTTGTGCAATTCTGGGATTTTTTTTAAGTAAAAATAAGTCGGCGTGTACATGGTTTATGTGTATGTGTTTTTTGAAAAACACGTACGGAGTATCGTATTGTGCACTTTTTTCCCAATTTTGCAGTGAATATTTGTCATGAATAAGCAGTTTTGTTAGATAAAATTTCTAGCATAAGTGTAATTCGGCTAGTAGATTGTTGGAAGAAGTGTTCAGTAGATAAAAAGAAAAGAAACATGTCTTTACTTCGTGAAGACAAAATGGCGGCGGGAAAAAAAAATAGAGGGTTGCTGTAGGAGAGTTGGTCGCCAAAAAAACGCCAAGTTACCATAATGTAAAGATCAACCAATTAAAAATATGAAACCGTAATTTATGAAATAAAGAACAATTATGATCTAAAGGATATCAAAATTTACAAATAAAAAAAAAAGCTTAATATTTATTTGTTTTTTTTATTAAACATTTCTTTCAATGTAAGTTGTTTAAGTTGCTTTGTTTATTGTGATATACTTTCTCTTTAATTCTATAACAGACATAATTTCTTCTTCTTCAGGTACAAAGTTCCGCTGGCAAGTCCTATAATTGCTGTGTCGAGAATACCGACTAATTTGTCAATCGAAATTTTTTCGTTTTCAATAACCTCTGTGTCACTTTCTTCACTATCGGAAGCGAATTATAATGAGGAGGAATTTGATTTAAATCATATCATATCAAAGACGGAGTACATCGAGATAAAATACTACATTTAGTAAGGAATTATAAGCCAAATAAAATAAAAACATCTGCCCTGAAGATAAGGATAGTGCTGACAGATCAACTTCCAATTCTTTGCGCGCCGTGTCGTTTCCCTTCCCCCGCAGAGCAATACCGACTTATACCGAGCGTGAAATTGATAAACATATTTCGGAATGATTAGATAATCAAAGGATATGCCTTTATCCATTTTTTGAAGCAGTTCCACTTTTGGTTTAATGGACTTTGAAACATACTTTCGCTTTGTAGATCCTTTACATATTAGTAAATATATATCGGAAATTCTATTTGACATAATCGAAAGTTCAAGCTTACTTTTATAAAATTGCTGTAACAGTCTGCAAAAAATAATAATCCGGATCCAATTCGAAGATTAAGGAACAACGCAATCTGCAACATTACCTGAATTAGATAATTTCAGCTTAGCTTATACCGTTCGTTATACGTTAAACGCGTTATACGTTAAACGTATTATGCGCATGCGCACGCGCATATTCGCAGCCGTAAAGGGCTGCGCATGCGTCAAAGCGACACATGCGCAGAAAGTTTGTAGATTTGAGGTCTGGATTATAGATCATTCCGGATTATGGGTGTCCGAATTAACGACTTTTGACTGTATATTTAAAGAAAACACAAATGGAACTACTCTTATATGCGCCCTCAGGTCGCCAAATTTCTTGCCAAATATTTTTGGCGAGAAACTTCACGCCGCTATATTACTACCTAACTTTTTTTTTTTCTCCATTTCGAATTCTAAGCTTAAAATATCTCCAAAAACGCGTTTTTCGCACATGCAAAAACCACGTTTTAAAGACAGAATTTAAGCTAAAAATCTGAAACAAAAACAAAAAATTTAGACAGCAGAAACGTAAATATTCTAGCCAAAAATATTTGACAAGAATCCATGTACACAATGATAAGTTAACTTCAGAAAACATCTACGAATTGCATATTCTAGGCAGCGAAGGAATCTATGAATTACACACACCTCGCTTCAATAAATTAACATTACAACAATAAATTTAAAAGAATACCATGTACACAGCATTCTGTTTAAACTTAAAAAAACATCTATGAATTGCACAATCTAGGCATTGAGCACATGCCAACCAAACAAACTAAACTAAATTGCAAACAATTAAAAAAAATAATAACAACAGAAATTCATATTAAAAAAACAATGAACATAACATTCATCAAAATAAAAGCAGTAAAATAAAATGCACTTACCATAATACATTCCTGAATAAAATTTCGTCAGTCATGCAACGTCTCTGAACAAAAGTGCTACGATTTTGCTATATGACATATCTTTCCGAGATTCAGAATTTTGAAAGTAACTATAAAAAAAACTTAGTTAACATACTACAGGAAAACCACAATTCAAATCTTAAACTCCGCTGACAGCCACAAACTTTACCAGCAACCATATAACTGCAAATCCACACAAAAACTATCAGAAACGCCCTTCTTCGTTTGAGTTCTCATGGCAGCTTCACATTTCGGACTCCATTTTAAAAGTCTCACGGAAATTCCAAAACTACACTTCAGTCCTCATAAACACACCCATGAACTAAACACTTGTTAACAACTCCAACATCATACCTTTTAATACTAAATTTACTTTCACACAATCTAAAATATGTAACTGAAATCTTGCCACCACGTCTATCATTGCAACATAGGCTGTTTCAAAACACGCATGACACAAACCAATGAGCAATTAACCCACTCCAGTAAAGATTTTTCAACGTCAACAGGTTTGCCATACAACACGCAATCATCGCCACATTTCGTAATATTAGGGCATATTGGTAATATTGTGGTCAGAGCCACACAATCTAGTCAATATTTTAGTTTTAATTTTGTGATAATTATGTATGTTTTTTTTTTCCCCTTCAACTTGATTTATCATGTTCCATTTCATTATAGGAAAATGAATGCTTTCAAGAGGAACTGAAGAAAGCACAGCGAAAGCTTCTCAAAGTATCTCGAGACAAGAGGTATTACAATTTTTGTATATGTTTTCATTCTATCTTTAATGCACAATTTTAAGGAATAAAATATTTCAGAATTTATTTTTGTGTAAAATTGGAGTAAAATGTAACATTTTGCTATATTTTTCAGGAAAAATATTTCAATTGGTAATTTTCCTTGTAAAAACAGCTACCATGCTTAGTAACCATAATTGGCATATTTAACCGCCTGTTCTGTTATATACAAATTTTATATGTAGTGGCTGCCTTAACAAGAAAGTATCTTTCAAAATATCAGAATAGTTCTTTAAATGAACCTTAGACTATTTTTATCACAAGGAAATAAGCATAAAAAATGTTCAGATGTTTAATTCAAAAAAAGAAACAATGACACTTGAGGAAGCCATGTGAATTTTATTCTTTTCAGGAATGGAAAAAGTTGTGTTATATGCAAGTTGTTATTAAAAAAGAGGGAAAAAGAAGTGTTAGAAATTTGTACTAAAAAATATAACCATATGACTTAAAAGGTTGATTTAAATTTCTCGTGAATCTTTTATTCATTTTAAAGAATTAATGTAATAAAATTTGAACACCAGCTATGGTTTGTGTAATGGTATATTTTAATCATGAAAAAATTTTTTACAGATTTTATTAAGGCATGTAGTATTCTGGTGTTCATAAAAATGATGTAGTGTTTGTTTTGATCAGGCATTGCACTGACAAAGACCTCTTGCATTCTCTTAAGAAACCAGTTTCTCGTATCTCAGCATTTGTCATAGTAAATACAGTAACCCCCTATTAACATGAACTTGCTTAAAGCAAACACTTGGTTAACATGAACAAAATTCTGATTCCAGCAGGAAAGTACTTAATCTTGGAGGTTAACGTGAAATTCAGTTAGCTTGAATTAGGAACGGTTTTTTAGTCCATTGCATTATTAGATTTTTTTATTTAACACAAACTTTGAAACATAGTCAGCACGGGTAACATTACTTGGAAATGATGATCATCATAAGAGCAAATGGAATATTGTACAAAGAAATGCTGGTGTTAGATTTGAGAAGTTTGTTATTGCAGATGATGATGTTGCCATGTGTGTTGCAGTGGAATCTGATGTACACTTTGCACAATGAAAAATGTGGAACAGTTCTATAGCTCCCATTCTACTGGGCCAGTTGACGAAATTTAATTTGCATTTTCCCTGCCTCAAAAACATAATGTGTAGTATATAGTAGATTTATATATAGCATTGTTCTAATATAGGTATTTTGAAATAAAATCGGATGTTTTCTTATATGACATTGATTTTTTTTCCATATTTCGATTCTAAGACTCATTATAACTAAATATTAAATTTTGTAAAATTTGCTGAGAAGCTTGAATTTAAAATTTAAAAAAAATATCTTGGTGCAATTCGTTTCAATTTGCGCTAAGAGTAATTCATATGGCGAAATTCTTAATTAACCTTTAATACTTGGAATCCTTTACTATAAAAAATATTCTGAAATTCTATTTTCTCTTACTGTATAGAAACCTTTCCCTTTCATTATGTATGAGCAAAAAAAAAAAAAAAAAAAAAAAAGTGCATTGTCCGGTAAAAGTATATTTTAGGATACCCCTTGGCGAAACTTGGCAATTTTGGCTGGTACATGGACACCGAGTTTGTGCAATTCTTTGACTTATTATTTTGACTTGTATAACGGCGATTTTTTGCGGCAAAAATTGCCGCTACACGATATCAAAATAACAAGACAAAGAATTGCACAAACTCAGTATTTATGTACACATCGACCTATTTTCACTTAAGTCCCCGAATTGCACAAAAAGGGCATTGCACACTCTCTTGAATTTATCCATGTACACGTCGACCTATTTTCACTTGAAAAAATCCAAGAATTGCACAAACTTGCATTGCGCCCTCCCTTCACTTTGTCCATTACACATCAATATATTTTCACTTAAAAAGTCAAAGGAGCACCCAATTCTACAATACAGGCAAACAAAAAATGCATAATCTCAATAAACTACATTTTAAACCAAACTGTAAAATAACATAAAAAAAGGAAAACATGTTATACAGTTAAGCACTACAAAAAGCAAATACCCACTTATCCTATTTAAAAGCCCCTTCATCTTTAGTCTGTGGCATACAAAATTCCTTAACAGCATCTGAACTCAAATTCGTATATCGGCGTCGCCACATCTGAAACTTTCTTCCTACAAACCCATTCAAATCCATCTAAACGGTTTTTACTTTCGACAAGACCCATATCCTTCCTACATACAGGACAGTTATAATGGCTACTAAGTAAACCTTCATTTACACACTAGTCAATTAACGCCCTTTTCCCCTTTCGTTCCAAATTGTACAGAAACTTCAAATTAATCTTACTACATTCAGCCATTCTACCGTCTAAACACTAAAACCAACACACACCACAAAAGTGCTTACAAAACATTCCATTATTCAAAATTTCCCAGAATCATGCACCCGATTACATCACAGTAGGGTTTCCATAACATTCAACTACTCAGGTTACCATAAATGAAACAACAACTTCGCCATAATACAAAGGGTACCTTAAAGTCTACTCTAACCCATTGTCCATTCTTTCAAATAATTATAACAAAGCACATAAACCACATTTGTTGTTGTTATTGCTTATAACAAATATGTCAAATTTCCAAACCCTTCAATATGTTTATATATATATTGTTACGAAATGTACAGGCGCGGTGAGATAGCTTCCTTGCAAAGCAGTTTTAGGGTTGCCATAAAATGGCAAGGGAAGGCAGGGTTGCCACATTTGGCGACAAATTTGGCGATATGCTTGTGGACGGATGGAGAACCATCTGGAACGAATTCTTACTGGTTTAGCCCAGAATGTTTTCGAACACCAGAAAAAGCTATATGAACCCTGCTGGTCTGCAGTCAGTTAGTGTACCTCGTCGAGAGGTCAAGTGAGAGTGCCTGGTAAAGTGCGAGATAGTTAATATCGAGTGGGTGTCTCGTCTAGCGAGTTAATTTCTGCGGAGTCGATCGAGTTGACAGCCAGGCAGTGAGTGCTGAGTGGGTCGTCGAATGCACCAAGACCTCGTAATGTATCGCGGTTAGATCATCGTCGACAGAGCATGTTGAGCTCTGGGAACGACCGAACTGAAGAGTCGGGAGCTATGCTCTGTGTGTTGCTGAGTGCATCGTGAGTTGTAGAGTGGAGAATCTCGAGAGTACGTGGAGTTCTGAGAACAAGCAAGCAGAGTCGGAAGCTCTACTCTAGTGTTTTGCAGTGAAGCTGTCTCCACCGTGATAGCCTGATAACCTGGAGGCTGTGTCGCTGATCTTATCAGCGTGTTTATAGTAGTTCATCGACGACTGTAAAAATGGTTTTTGGAGCTGTCCTGACAGAACTGGCCAATGAAGTGTGTTTCGATACTTCATCAAGTAGTATTGTCATTATTCACTCCAAATCCTCATGAACCCCGTACGAACGTGAAGGAAGAAAATAACGTAACAATTGGTGTCAGAAAAGAAAAATGCAACAATATATATATATAATCACATATATCACATATAAATTCACATATATCCTCTAATATGTAAATCATGTATATATTTGGAAATTTTGAATAAAAGACTCTAATTTTTTTTTTTTTTTGCACTGTATGCCTAGAAATACATATACTTTAAGGTGATGGTAAAACTTTTATAGATTTTAGCTCAAAAAAATTTTTTTTTTAATTTTTTGAGTTACTAAAAAATACAAAGTAAAAAAAAAAGAAAGAAAGAAAGAAGTCAGAAAACATCTGCAAATGTAATTTGGATTGAACATAAATTGGGAAGAAAGGAATCAAGTAAATGTAATTTAAAAAAAAAAAGAGAGAGAGAGATTAGTAAATGCATACCAAATGCAATAACATTGAACAGCTAAAAATTTTAGAGCTAACTTTTTCAAAACTACTAATACAAGTTTTACAAAACTTGGCACTTTCGCATAATTTGAGTTATAAAATCAAAATATGGGGAAAAATAAATATGTCACTTTAGAAGTTCAATTTTATGTCAGAATACCTATATTGAAGCAGTGCTATATATAAATCTGATATGTATTCTAAGTTGTAGTTTTGAGACAGGAAAAATGTAAATTAAATTTTGTCAATTGGACCAGTAGAATAGGAAATTCAGAACTGTCTCTCCCCCTTTTTTTCTTTTTACTTCCTTTTGCAAAGTGTACAAGCAGTTTTGTATGAAGTGCAAAGTGATTGATGCCCTTTAGATTCATATATTATAAACAATTAGTTTTATAACAGAAAGTGGATGTAACTAAATTGAAATAAGGAATTAAAAGGATGATAAAAATATATTTATGGGTGCCCCTTGGCGAAACTTGGCAATTTTTGGCAATACATGGATACCAAGTTTGTGCAGTTCTTTCACTTCTTATTTTCACTTTGTGCTGCGGCGATTTTTGCATCAAAACTTGCCAGTACACAAAGCCAAAATAATAAGTCAAAGAATTGCACAAACTCGGTATCCATGTACACATCGACCTATTTTCACTTCATAAAACATCAGAGAATTGCACAAACTTGGCATTGTGCGCTCCCTTTATCCATGTACACATCGATCTATTTTCACCTAAAAAATCAAAGGACCAGCCAACTCTACACTAGAACCATACAAAAAAATATATTTTATCTCAATAAACTACATTTTAAATCAAAAAATGAAATAACGTAAAAAAAAGAAATTCATCTTAGCACTACACAAAGAAATATCCACTTACCTTATTTAGAAATTTCCATGCCTTTAGTCAAACAAAAATCCTTAATAGCATCCCAAAACTTATTAAAATTATCTGAACTAGAATCTGTATACTGGCATCACCACACAAATTCATAAAAATAAGAGTCAAAAATATCCTCAGTAGTACCCGTATCCTCTGATGTTCGACCTTACACATTTATTTCTTACAAACAGGACACTTATGGCTGCTAAATAAACCTTCATTTACACACCAGTAAATTAA